ACCGGAAAATAAAATAAAATAAAACCCCAAAAGGCATTACTGAAAATGCAGTTTAGCAGCATCAATCAAGATTTCTACCATAAACCCCTTAGCCTCCACAATAAGCTCCTCTCTAAGGAGACCTCCAAATCCAACCCTTCCTTCCGAATCTACTACGGCGAACTCCCGAGCTCCGTCCCCTTCACCTGGGAAACAATCCCCGGAACCCCCAAACACCACCACGCCACCTCCGGCGACCACCACATCCTGCCGCCTCTAACCCCTCCACCATCATACCACGCCAACTCAAATTCCCTCCGAGCCTCCTCCGAAAACCCCTCCCGATCCAAAATTTTCCTCCGAAACCTCCTCCGCCACATTAACCCTAAAAAACCGAGCCTCGGCTCGTCGTCTTCGTCGTCGTCCTCCTCCGCCACCTCATCGTCCTCCTCGTTCTCCGATCACTTCCGACGCCGGAAGCGCCGCCGGTTCTCCGGATTGGGCTCGTCGTTCGATTCCGGATGCTCTGTTTTCGTCGTGAAGAAGGCTCTACTGTCCATCGTCGGGCGCGGCTCCGGCTGATCGAAGGTTAATTTGGCTATGTTTGTTTGTTGTGCTATGTGTTTTTAGATAATTGTTGCTGATTATGAGCTCAATAATTGCAAATTGATGATCTAAATGTATTTTGTACTCTGAGTTTTATGTAAATTTGACGTGCTATTGTCCTACATTTTTTATCGTATTCATCATATATGCCTTCACTTCTTTTTTCCATTTTACAGAGTAACCTATTCAAACTAAAACCAACAATTAAAGTTGTTAAACAAAACGAGTCTGCTCGTGAGGTTAGCTTTGTTAGTCTTGTTAAGGCTCGAGCTCAGCATCAAACCAGCTTAGTTCGAGCTTGTTTAGTTAACAAGCTGACTAAGACTCGAAAATATGAGTTTTGATGTAATTTTCTATAGTTCTGACTCGTTAAGGCTCGGCTCGTTAACAATGATAAACAAGTCAAGCTCGACCTGGTTTTCCAGCTTGTTTAGTTAAAGTGGGATCAAACTCGAGTATCATAAGCTTAAGCTTGCTTTGACTCCTTTACACCACTCCATAATGTATATGATAGGGAAACAAGCAGAATTGTTCTTGTATGTTAATTTTTCTTAGAATGTCGAATTTCCCCTATAATGTACAGCTGAATGAATTCATGAATTTTAGGCCATCTAGATAGTACATAGTATCTATTTTAGGATAAAGATGAAATTTTGTGATTTACTAAGCATTCACAAGTGTATGTTTTTTTATTTTTTTATTTTTCATCTGTAATAATAGTAAATTTATTGAACTTTGAGGCAGAGTACACCCACATATGAAGACAGATATGTTTACAGTACTGTCTATATGTAGTGACTATTGAATGTGAGGAGAACAGTTAGTTAAAAGTTCCTATCTGCATCATTAATTTTTTATATATATATATATATATATTCAAGTTTGGAATCTTTACCACTTTCTACTTTTTCCTCACATATTTGCAGAAGTTAAGAAGCTTCTGTAGTTGTCAAATTTATTGATACTATTCAATGATTATTGTCTCAATTGCTATGATGTATATATTTATGATCTACAGTTTTGCTTAGAGGTATAAATGACTCGAGCAGATACTCGAGTTTCTAATGCTAGAGCTTGGATTCCAACTGAATCTTTATAGAACCGAGTTGATAGACAAGCTGAATTCGAATCTTAATTTACTGAGCTAATATAAATATTTAGAAAATTACATAAAACCCTCTGTCGTCAAGCTTTAAACAAGGCCTAGACGAGTTTTAAAAGATTCGAATTAAACAATATGTTATGCTTTACGTCATGTTACTTCTGTAGGGTTATGCAGCAAAAAATCAGAAGCCCAACTAATCCACTAATGAAGGATAATTATGTGGCAAGATGGTTGATAAACCTTAACAAAAAGGTAGTAAGAATGAAAAGAATTTGCAGCTA